ACCAAGTTCGAAATACAGCGAGAAATAAAGCGGTCTTCATTGTAAAATTCAACATTGCACTAGAGGCAAAGGCTTGACAAAAATGAACCATGACAAAATGCATGGGGTTACGCATGAAAGTACATCAGCATGCACGTCACACAGCCAAAGGACACAAAAAGACCTCACACACACATACACACACACAGACGTACTGGTGTTATAATGTCAGGTTTTCAGTCTGTAGAGTTGTTCTCAGTGGAAAGGAATGGCTTCTTTGCTCTTTAGCTTACCTGACAGCAAGGCACAGTGCAAAGTCCACGAGTGGAGTTTCTATGACAATAAAACCGAAGGTCTTTCTATAGCGCTGACATTTAAAATTATATACGTGCACATACCAGTATCATTAGCCACTATGTGCTATTTCAGTCAAACTCTACAGCACTTTCACAAAGTAACTTCATTTTCTCAAGCCTTACTCCATACATAATGCTAGTTCATGAAATTTTATAATTGCATAGACAATGATGCTGGAAAGTTGTTCAGTTGTGATTTATTACTGTTTTGCAAAGTCAAGCAGTCAATATGCGTATAAAAACACCATGTTACTCATTGTGCACTGTTTGTGTGTCGGAAAAGATACTTCAAATTAGGTGGTTTATTGAAGGCCTTTTTTTTGCCTGGTAGATAAAAAAAAACACCACAACACAAACTCAAATTTAAGGATGGACCAGAACCATATTTAGTGGTCAGAAATACATAGACTTGAGGCACTTTTGACTTGAGCCAGTAACAACCAATATTTAGTGGCCAGAAATTCATTGACTTGAGCCACTTTTGACTTGAGCCAGTAAGTAACAACCAAGAAATGCCCTGGCAACCACCCACATCAAAAGCTGGCACTGTGGCAGTCAGATTTGTATGAACAATCACCAGAAACTTACTGTTGCCCTAACTTTACTCATATCAAAAAAGGATATGAAAAAAGTGCTCATAATTTCATGCTCATGCTTTTATTTTAGTCCAGTTTTTTATTTATTTGCATAATTTGCAAGTGCTCAATTACCAAAAATAATTAGTCGCAGTCCTAATTAACCGAGCACATATCACCAAACAGAATGTACAAACAAGTGGGACAGATTTAAAGTGAGCTCACACCACACATTTCACATCAAACTATGTTCATGCCATCTGGCTGCCCTCTCTATTCAGCTTTACAGGTAGCCTGTCACAGGTACAATCTCTATGTAACAATAACAATTAATAATTAGTACACACACACCAAATTCCGATTTTTCACATTTCACTAAGCTGTTTTGATCCAAGCTGCAATTTTTTTTTTTTTTTTTTTGGAATATCGTAATTTTCCGGAAAAAGACTGTACATAAATAACATGACATGCTCGCCAAGTTGAGCCAAATACTGCTCATAGCTGTAAAAACCCTGCTCAAATGCTTTGCAACCGATTGATCAAACAAGTTGAAATTAAATATGGCTCTTCTTTGGTGCAAACCAGGGGCGAAGTGAATATCAAGCAACTCAGAATGGACTTTTTCTCTGAAAGTACTATTCAGTTAGAGGAGTTGCAAGACTTTCTGATGCATTTCAGAACTCTAAACCGGTAAATTCTTTCCCTCTGCACATTCATTACTGGCATTATTCCCGCCAGTGGCTCTCAAAGGCATAACAAAAAAGCAGGTGTTTTGTAGGCGTGACCTCAGCACCTGAGCAGTGCATCTGTATCCGAACATCTGGGTGTGCGCGAACAGAAGCGAGAAGGGACGGACAGCTCACAGCTGCAAGGTCAGAAGACCTTCGGCCTCTCTCGTTGATGTTCCGGGGCGGCTTCCTGCGGGGAACGCCTGTCATGTCGGTGGGCCGCTGTGAGCCCTGACAAACATGCCCTAGCTGTACCCTGACTGAGCGGAGCCATATGGCGACGGAGGCAGAACGAACACGTCCCGTGAACAAAGGTGTCGGAGCATCATGCGTCAGCAGCGCCACGTATACCCTGATCACTACACTGCAGGTCTGGGCTCAGACCTTCCCAGCAGCCGCATGTTTTAAACCCCCAGCCTCATTAGTGCTGGAAGAGGTAACCTCTGTTCGGGACAGGAGAGTGACCAAGCATGCTACGTGCCTTAGCGTAGCGGCGAAGAAAAGAGTGCAAGAAAGGTTCGCCTGATTGATTTACATCCCCAACTTTATTACAGGGGAGAATATGATGTAAAACACCACGACAGTGCCAGATCTAAGAGCAGCCTGATTAAGGTCGACATGTGCCGTCCTTACAAGGGGGAAATTTGGAAATAATGCGACAGTAATCCAGGCAGCCTGATGAAGATGAGCATGGCAGAAACCCAACTCTCTGGCGACCAGCAATTACACCCTCCCTTCTCTGGCACGTCTTTTTATATATGGAAACGGCAACCCATACTGAGTGAGGGCTGTTCAGAGGACAAGATAAAGGGATGCTGGTAAGAAAGAGGATAGGATATGCGCACTTTGACCTTGCTGTATTAACTTCCAACTGAAATTCTGAGGCCTTGTTGTTTTTCATTGGGAAAAAGACACAACAAAACTTTCCCCTCAGCTGGCCGCAGAGTATCCCCCTTTGGAAAGCAGTGAGAAACCAATAGCTTTTCTGTTTCTGTTGTGACCCCATTTTCTTGGCATGTTGTCCCGGTTGGCCCAGGTGGCAAGAATTAAAACATACTATTGCTATTTGCGTCTTGTCCTATCCGAGTCGAACCCAATGATTTATGCTGTGAACACAGCACACTGACCCATAGGACTAAATCAAGAGAAGTGATTATCTGATGTGGACAAGAAATCCCCACCCAATTGACTCGATCAAATTAGGTTTGATCAGAGTAGATTAACTAAAATGAAGGAGTAATGGGAAATGTGAAAGAGGTGTTTGGCATCTAAACTTCACTCACAAAAAGCTCATTTCTGTTTGAGCAGCTGTTTGGGCAAGAAACAAAGTTATATTGATATTTAGATCAACAGCACTCTTGGGAGTGTGATATTGCTTTTATCCAACAGTTTAATAAACCAGACAGATATTCTGTCATTTACATTTTAGAAAATTACATTACCTATTTTTGCTCCACCATTGAAAACATGTTTAAAACGAAGCCAAAGCATCAACCATTGCGCAACGCTCACTGCGTCCTAACCAGTCGTGACGCCATGACACACGATCATTTCTATGTTAATCCAAGGTTCTGTCCAAACCATCTGTGACTGTGAAATGATACGAGTGATAGGGGATTCTATTTTAGGAATGGTTTCTATTTCTACGACATTATGGCTGACAGTTCAGGCACCGACTGTGTTTTGTATACTATTAAAAATGGTTTCATTTGAGTATGCGTATCATTGAGTATAACTTTAACAGTCATAATGAAAGCAACAATGGATCATATAACTCAGATCTAACTCAGAACAAAAGAACCATAAACGTTCAGACTATGAACTCACTTATGTAAACAAACGAGTGTATTCCACGACAAAGATTGTATGGGATGGATTGTGATTAATTTTGTTGTGTCTCTTATAGCCATGTCATGTCTAGTGTGGAAAGACAAATTGCATCATAACTGGTTAGGACACGGTGTGACCACGGTCCTTCTCCAAATCAATACATTTGCGAATAAACAACAAAATCTCGTAAAAATTTGTAAGTATTTTACATTTTGGCAAATTAGAGCAATTTGTACATTGTACGAATTCATATTAAATCATGAGATTGAGTTATATATCTCAAAATTTGTTGGAAATTGTCTTTTTTTTCTATTATTAATGAGGCATATAAAAATAAACTGCCCTAAAAAATAGTCACAGAGGACTCAAGTCCATCAGGATTCACTAACGGCATCCTTCAGAATTACTCACAAAGCAGAAGTTATTGTTTAGCAAAAAAAAAAAGAGAAAAAAAAAAAAGGCAGGAGTCACATGCATGACTCCCAAATATCAATTGTTCCCTTTCATTGGTTTCTATGCAAGGCACTTCCAAACCCCATTTGAATGTCTAATAGAAGACATTATCTGTAATCAAGAGTGGCTAAACACAATAAATGTGACAGGCGAAAAGCTCTGGAGCCTGACAATGTGAAGGTTACTCAAGAACAAGCCCGAGTACAAACACTTCAACTGATATTGCTCAATCACCAGGCTCATTAAACCATGTAAATGTGCTTGTCTCGATGAAATACAATCACATTTTCCGATTCAAAACTGCTAGACTGATGAAAACTAGAGGAACATCTAGTTTTAGCAGATTTCAGGGTGGTATACTTTGTTTTTCAGAAGAGACATCTGCCTAAAATGTAGTTGTCCACGTGTTTGGAAAAATGATAATTTCATTAGTAGAAAAGCAAAAACTGTTGTAATCAGTTACTTATTTCACTCCGATGGGTTTCACAAATAACAGAATAATCAAACTGGAAAAGACAAGAAAGCTTCTGTTGGAGCAAAAGTATAGAATAGAGCAGGCAATCAAAACAAAAGTGGAAGAAAGAACAAGCAATTCTATATAAAGCATAAAAACTGATGAGAGTGGAACACAAAGTCTCTCTCTCTATTTCCCACATAGACACAAAGTGAGTGTGGTGAATACATCAACAATATGCTCTGACTGCAGTCTTTCTCTCAGAAATTAAAGCAATCATTGGGTCTAATGCAGGCTGAGGAGATAGAGGCCTTGTGCAGGAGGAGAGGAGAGGGCTTCCTGTCTCCGAGAAATGGGCATTGAATTCTGATTACGGCCACCTAATAGAAAGTAATGAGAGAGGCTTATGCTCCAATGCCTTTTGCTTTCCTGGCCAGAGCAGCGAGCGCTCTCTACTAAAGGCCAAAGAACTGGTGCACTGATTGGGGCTGACACTGCAGCGGGGGGGGGGGGGGGGGGGGGGGGGGGGGGGGGGGGGCTGGTATGGGTTAGTCAGAGACAGAGAGATAAAGAGAGAGAGAGAGAGGACATGGGCAGAAAAAAGGAAAATATGGAGGGTACGCACCATCAATCCGGCTGACCAGCTCCTCCAGTGCCTTCACTTTCCTCTGAATACCAGGCTGGGCAAAGGTGTAGTTGTCCTTGAGGGAAAAGAGAGTAATATGAGAAACTTAAAACTCTACACACATTTGCTCAATTAAATACATGATATAAACACAAAATTAATTATTAAAAAATTGTGGGAATTTGCCTAAATGCCTTTGCGTTTGATCAGAGTCTGATTTTGTGACGAAACTTGTTTTGCATGTTTAAGTTTTACTTCATTCCAATGTTACTGGTTACAACAGTACAACAAAGTTACAACAATGTTAATTTGTTAGGAGTTCCTTATGATAATGTTACAAGTATTTTAAGTGTTACAAGTTAGACAGTATGCTAACAATACTTAAGTTTACACAGATGCCATAAACTTGAAATGATTAACACCAACACTCACAATGAGTAACTTTTCAAGTATAACACTGGCATAAAATAATTCAAGTAACACTGGTGTAAACTAATAATGAATAACATTGTCGTAAACCCGTTACAAATAACAATGTCACTTATTAGATGTTTATGATAGTATATTCTTGATAGGCTACAGTTCTTTTTGTTCTAGATTCAACATGCACAATATTTCTACTGTAAACAATTAGCTGGTAAACGTAATAGTTACATAATACATTGAAACTGGCCAGAGGGGGACGAGTAAACAATGTAGAGATGCGAACACAATGACACATTGGACACAGCACACACCGAAAACACCCCATACATATGCACATGTATGCACAAATGCATGCACCACTGCCCATCCACACTGGGAAGGAAACAGTGTGCTGGCAGAGCTCAACTGCGTGCTGGGAATAGTGATCCCTATAATTAAGTGATAATATTCATCAAGGTCCTGTGGCCCACAGTGCAGCTTAATTACCACATTCATTTCAGCCTTCGTTAAAAGACCCTTCTTGACCAGACAGCTACTTAAGAGACCCCCACCCACCTCTATCTCTCCCCAAGCCTCAGTGGGATTTCCTTTGCGCTCCCACTGGAGGAAACTTAGACTAGCTATACTGCTCATAGAAACTGAGCTCAAGTTCAGCTGTCGAGAGCCAGCGTAAAATAAGCTGTAGGTTAGGGTTGATAAATTGGGTGGTTAGCTATGCGGAGACTGTCAGCCATGGATATAATCAACAGAAGTTGCAGAGCCATCATTCACACCAATGAAACTGCTGATGTGAAGGAGGTATGCGTACAAAAAAAATAACAACAGACTGACTGTGGACGTATGCATTGTATGTGAGAGGGACACAACCGTTAACGGGTCCAAAGATGCCTGCTGTGAAAACTACCCCCTAAACCAAACTGTGGGAAAGATGTAGCATGTGACAGAGCAAGTAAATAACTTGGAAGGTCATATAAATGTGTGTGTAGGACAGAGCACAGCAAAAAAAAAAAAAAAAACCCAACAGGTTTTAGGATAGTCTTGCACTTTTGCTTTCAACCTTCACTGACTACATTTTTAATCTATCTTACTCATTTACTGGAATGCATGGAAAGACGGAAGCTGCTCCTAATTTTCAGATGAAGTTTAACATCAAAATATCTGCCATGATGACCATGAGAATGTATAACTTCATTGGAAAAATGTAGAGATGACAGTTTCAGTGACAATAAAGGTTGACACCTTATCAAGCGGTCTGAGTTATATCATACTTAATAGGGACACCCTCATACAAACTTTTGAAACTTAAGTACATTTAGTGGCAAAGAAGATTCGTAATTGTATAGAGGCTACATTCAAATGGTGGCTAGACTTTTCCTTTGCAATAAATTGCACTGATATCAGTATTATCTGGCTTTCTACTCCAGTCGATTTTCATTGGATCAACCTCAAGTGGCTCTTTTGAGGGATCCAAAATTTGTCAAGAGGTAATGACTGTAGGAGAGTTAATTATACACTTTGGACAATCACCTAATTGCTTGCCAAATAGCATGGTCCCCTGTGCCTTGGCAACCCCAACAAGTGCAAATACCCAGGACTGAACAAAGAGAAGGATTTTCGTAATCAGTCTTCAACTTGCAAAGGTGGACAGACAGATATTCTGCACAATGTGAGTAGGTCTATGGCTCCATCTTTGATGAGACTTCAGAGAGTCAGGATGCTTTAATGTAGCCTGGGAGCAGCTGAGGCGGCAAACACCCGCGAGGGGAGAGAAGTCATTAACCGATAAACAATTTCAGCTGTCCTTCAGGCTCAGATGTGCAGCCTCTGCGCTCCAGAGGTGCCTTAGATGAATACATGAATAGCTGGTTCCCGACCATTAAAAAAAGCCACCTCCTCTTTGCAGTGACCTCGAAACAGGACTTTAAAGGGGCAACACAATGAGGCGGCACTGAAACAGATGGGGCGTCGGCGGCCGAGTCCGTGCTTGGCCTACTTTCACAGGTCTACACCTAATCTTCAGCTGGAGCACTGACCCTGGAGGATGCTTGTGGCTCAGTGAACATTAACGCTCCATGCTGGGCTAATCTATCTCTGCAGGAGTCCCTGAGAGTTAGGGCAAACCGGCTCTGTTGTGGGGGAAGGAGTGGGAATCACGAGTCACAATCAGGCCAGATCTGAGAACAAGGGCATCTCGTGGGCAAAGTCTTGTCTCCAACTCTTGCATACCTGCCAAGTGCTAAGTGTATGTTAACAGTCAGAATTGAAACACGGGACTATCAGTTTAATGTTGTTTCTACACTATTTTAAGACCACATAAACTGATGACAATGCTGTGTCCAAAAGACATTTTTCTGGAGGGTTTAGCTAGTGAAAGAAAATATATCTGCTCCTCATCCAAAGCGATCAGGAAGTATTCAGAAAATGTAATACTTGACAGGAGGTCATGCTATGTCATGTCACAAACAGAACAGGTACTTTACACTGTAGCTGAAAAGTGAACATTGTAGTTTCTTGACATTTGTGAGAAGTCAGCAGACAATATGCTCTTAATGGCTTTCTTTGTGGAACTTGAGGACTTTATGATATCATTTGAGTCTAAACTTTCACAGTCTCTCTCTCTCTCTAATTGTTTATGCTTCCAATGCGATTTTGGTGCTTGCAGAGCTCCCCAGCATGACACTGCAGAAATAAAAACCAAGTAACGGGGCTGATGGATACAACTTCTTCCTTGTTTATGCTAACAGGCAAAAGTGACTCCAACAACACTCCAATGGGATATAGAGCGAAACGAGATCACCAGTTTAATTTTGTTGTTTTTCTGTTGCTTTAACTCTGTGAGATTGCCCTGGAGACAACATCTGATAAGAAATCCATTGGATGGCAGGAGCTAAACAAGTTAAATGCCTCTTTCTCTTGCTCCTTGTGTGTCATGTTCTGGAGACACATGGATGCAATGCAATTACCTCTGAGGCAGGAAGAGTTGGTCAGTCTTAAGCATGCATTAAGCCTGCCCAGAGACCTCTGTAATTATGTCTGCATTATTAAAGCACCCATGCCTTAATGAAGTGCAGGTGCTCTTACACACTGAACCATGGGAGCTGTAAATAATCCAGTATCCATAGTAATATCATTAACCAGCTCTGAACCAAGTTTAGAGGATCCTGAAATCTTGAAAAGGAAAACTAGGAAGGGTTTGACTTGGACCACTATAACATGCTGTGACAGGAAGGGCTCTGATGATACAAGCAGGTGCTAAATTCCCCGCTGGATACTCTTTAGAGAGCATCCCCCTTTTCAGGGATTTGTTTAAAGCTTTGGCTTGGGCACAAGCTGAAGCTTCATGGCATCCTTTTTTGTTCACTCCATCTTTGATCCGGTAAAGCAACAGGAGCTTCCAACTGAAGCTTTTTGTGTGTGTGTGTGTTTGTGTGTGTGTGTGTGTGTGGCGGGGGGGGGGGGGGGGGGGGGGGGTATACTGTCCTAACTGTCTATCACTCACCTTCAGTAGATTACTAATCTCCCTTTGACACTTCATACAAAGGGACTGATTTCTCCGCTGGGTGAAAACGAATAAAGCCACAGACTGAACAAAAAAGGTGATCTGAAATCAACAGAAGAAGGTGGTGACTTTTTTGTAAATAAGTGAATAACTGTAAATCTGAAGAGATGAAGGCCAGTCCTTTGATAAGAAGTGGTGAAAAGATCTGCTTGATGCAAACAGCAGGCCTGCTGAAAGGATTTGGAGCTGTGATGATGACCCATGATAACCCGAGCACATAATAAGACCTCAGCTTTGTGTTATTCATGGAGAGGAGAGGGCTTTTACACTCTCTCTGTGGCTGCTGGTGCATTTCCATTAGTCTAAGCAGCCCTCTTTTCCTCTCTCAATCGCTCCTGCTTTTCCAGGCAAAGCTGGATCAGAAATAACCCAGCAATGCAGAGTATGAACATCCAGGATCATGAGCTTATCTTCTGAACCTTTCAGCGTCTGCATTCAATGCTTCCCTTGTTCACTCTTTTAAATAAACTATACTCTTCTTTTCTATGTCAGTCATAGAGTCTTAGAAGAAGAGTTCACTGAAAAATGAAAGTTCTGCAATTGTTTTTTTCACCCTTGTGTTGTTTAAAGCCCGTTTCCCCCCTTCCCCTGTGGAATACAAAAGGGCAAACTGAAGACTGTTCACTACATAATTCAAGCTCCAAAATGGATTTCGAAATGACACCATGTAAGTATACTACATGTCCCATGTGCTATATTCAAAGTATTCTGAAGAAATACAATTACTTACAGATTTCAAAACACATTCTTGATTAAACAAATTTGAACTGGTGCCAATTTTCTGTTACAAGACAAGCAAGAACTAATGGCATTTTTGCATTAATGATGTCAAACCTGGTGCATTGCATCAAGGCACTTAGTTTTGATCCGACAAGGGAATATAGATAAGATTTAAGAGCTTTGATAGAGGGAATTTCAGTATGTTTCTCACACTAAGTTATGGCATGGAATCGGACAACGTGAGATAGTAAGCCATACAGACTACGTCTATGGTCCTTTTTGGAGCCTGACAACTGTGCCCACTATGGAAAAGTCCTGAGAAAAGAAAATGGGTTTGGAACGACGTGAAGATGAATGATTGGCAGAATCAT